CCCCAAAACCCCAAAACCCCAAAACCCCATGCTATGTTATTTCAAAGACAGAAATAATTGATTAAATTAATTCTATTTAGGCTATTTAGAGTAGAAGCTACGAAGATGCTATTTCATCATCATGATAATAAGTAAAAGTTATAGTAGTCGTTAATTTGCTTAAACATTCTTGCATTCAAACTTACCCTTGTTCTTGATTAAAATTCTAGTTGAACATAAAGAATTTGAAATCAGGACTTTAGTTGTTTTCAATAACAATTTCATCAGTGAGTATTTTATCATCAAGTTCTGAATCAGTTCTTATGCTGTAGCCATTTACAGTCGTTGTCTTCCCATTTTGATGCTTTGATTATTGCTCAGTTGTCCATGAGCTATGGTTCATTCTTTTCATGGTACTTGTAAATGGCCTAGCATTGGATATTAGTTTCTCAGACAGCAAATAATCCTAATTTTGATGAGTCATTAATTTTTCTTCTATGTCCTCGAAATGCTCCGATCTCTCTTCCACTGAATTCTTGACAGACTAGCCTTAATTGTAGATACTGTCACAGTCTCTCTTATTATACAATCTTTGTAGTCTTTTGATTTTGTATTATCTAATCACATTAATAGTCAAATTTTCGCTTAATTTGATGACATCATCTTCATTCAATGATGAATTCAAATATCTACCACTTGCAAATTAATCACTTTGTGAAGGAGAGATATCTTTGAATATTACAACTGAACTTAGTCTATTGAGTGAATCCAATAATTTCTATCTTTTAATAAGTTTTTGAGATTGCAATCTTATTCTAAAATTAATGAAGCAATAGATAATCTCATGAACTAGTATTACTACTATTCCCATTACTATATTGAAAGTGCTATTTGCGAAAGATGATACCACAACACCTCCAATTACTGTGTATGCAAATGAAACATAAATCGAGACAATTAATGGCCATAGGATAGACCCAAGCTCAAGCAATGAAATAAATCCAAATGCAATGTGAGTAATCAAAATCAGAAGCCAAATGGGTAGCAAAGTATATGATATTGGTTCATAATGAAAAACTTGGTATGAATATATCATTGTTACTCTGAATCTAAGATCTTCATGCAATTCTTCAATATAGATAAAATAATGTATGATCAAGTATGAAAAGAGTAGAGTTTCATTGATAATTGAGATCAAAAGATCTCTCTTAAATATTTTAAGCTAAGTTTGAGTTTAATGAGTTTTTTTATCCATTTATAATGTTTATCTAAACTTATAAGTTAATAATAATTTCTAAAGTTTCACTCACTATAATTCTAATAGAATTCGTGACTCTCATATTAATTCATTCTTCAAAGTCAATCAGCCTTTCCTCCTCCAGATACGCTCCTTTTAAAAGATGTATCTTTTTCTTCATTGAAAAGTTTCCAGGCATGTATTAGCTCGCAGATTTCTCCATTGGAAGTATTCCCATATTTTTATAAACACTAGCCACAATCTCTGAGCAAAAGTAGGTCTTGTCCTCACGAATATTCTCATCTGAGTCGTCCACACACTTTTTTCTCAGTAATTTAGAGGCAGTAACTTTATATTTCTTGGCAATGGCTGCTCTTAAGAAGTTTTATAATTTAATTAGTTGCTCTTAGGATCTCTCCGTCCTCAGTCTTCTATAAATAACTCTGTCATAGTTTTAATACCATCTATTAACTACAAATTAATCCCAATCTACGACATCAACGCCTAAGTTTATAGTGGCTTCTATAAATTTAAGCTGACCCTCAGAACAGCGAATCAAGACAGCAACATGGTTATAATTACTTTTTGTAATCATTCTTTGTAATGATGATGAAAATTCAGAATTTTTAAAAAGAAGTATGTCTCCAGTGTCAGCGATTCTCGATAGATCACTTTCAAACATTCTTGAACATTTCCAGAATCTACCCTCTTTCCTTTATGTTTTCCTATCAAGTCTGATCATTGATTATAGTCCAGATTAAGATTTTTAATACGTTGAAAAATTATCTTCAGTTGCATCAAAGTCAGGATACTAAGCTCTATCTATTACTTTTTTCCACTCAGCACATTCTTCATCAGACTATGCTGAGAAAGTAAAAACACGATTCATTCCTTAAAATCTCAACTAAAATCTGCAAGCATTAACAAGTTATACCTCTGCAACCACGACATTTAAGTCGAAAACGCCGCATCTTATGAAATTTATATTTAATTATTTAGAAGTATAGGAAATCTCTTTTACTCTATGCTTGAATATTGACTCTCCTAATACATGCTTTTATTTATAATAGACAAGTTTCTTGTTGCTGTATAAGACAAGAAATCTCTCCTAAAAACCAAGGATAAAATTGGTTGACTTTTTCTTAATCCAACCTTACTTTATAATATCACAATCTTTTTCAACTACAATTTGATTGGGAATTTTGAGTTCATCAAATTCTCCAATTTTGGAATGTATTTAACAATCTTAGATAGCAAGGAGATCTTCCTTGTTGCATTAGCATTCTGGTAAAGCATCGCTCTATAAGTCATCATCTCTTAAAATTGGCCTCATTTTTAAGAGATTTTATACTTTTTAATCAAAATCCTTCCTGTTCTAATAAGGGTCGTAGTTACTAATTGACCTATATTATCTCATAGCATTCTCACCATCTAATCTTTAATCCTTTAAATTTGTTTGAGAGATCTTCTAAGTCTATTACTGTAATTTGGCTTTGTTTTTCATCTCTAAAAATAAGTAAGTCCATGAAATTTTTATTTATTTACCTTGAATTTTTGTATATGTTGTCTTTCTAGATATAGGTATTTACATAGTAAATCTATTTCTATCATTTATTTAAGATTTGTTGTTATTGTGCTCTTCTATATCTAGATGTTCCACACTCTTTCCTGATCGAGAAGACTCGCTTAAGATTATATCATCATCCTTCTCTCCCTTACAATCTAAATGGCTAAATTTACTATATAATTACTTTATAATCTACTCAACCTAGGTCTCCTATGTATAGGACTTCTCTGTATGACTTTTGTCTTTAGTCTTTCAATCGATAACTACTTAAGTTACAGATTCTTAAAGATCTTTATATCTAAATTATCGAGAATGGCTGGCTGCTAAATAATTTATTCTTAATCTTCAATATTAATCCAACTTCTGTTATTCACCAGATCCATCAAAAATTCATCGTCCCTCTCATATTTTTCTGTTGTTTTGCTGTGCCTTTGCAAGTGCTTCAAGTTTAATAAATTAGAATTGCCTCTCTCTTTCAATTCCAATGAGGACTCCATCATTCTCCTGTGATAAAATAATGATTTTTCTTTTAAGCATGATGATTATGAGTTAGAGTCATTAAGTTAGCCATAGTAACTTTCTGATTAATGACGTTTTCGCACATTTAGAGAAGGACTGTCTGGGCAGTAATTTTTCTTAAATAGAGAAATTACTGTATGCTTAGATTCAGATCTATCAAGAAGCTGTTGATACCTTTACTTTTGTAAAGACACAGTGCGATCGCTTAATGACTCATCATCAGACTAATCATCATTTTAAATTAAAATCTCTGGATTTCTTTACTTAATTCCATTTAACTATTTGAATTTTTAAGAAAGATTATCTTAATCTTAGCAAAAAACATCAGTCTCTATGTTGATTCCTAAAAACATAGTTTATCAGAAATTTGTAAGTTACCGCATAAGTCAGCATTTAACTCCTCTTCACTATAGCTGTTGTTTATTAAAACATCTTGAATGTTAAATGAGCCTAATCTTTTTCTCTTTTTATCTTCTTTCTCAGCAATCTCTTTAATTGGAGTTAGCTCTTTCAGTTCCTCATTATCGAAGGCTACAGCAGATGGCTGAGGATGGATTTTAACATTATTATGGTTAACAACAGAAGAAAACTTTGATTTTATTGTGTTTAGCATCTTTAAACTATAAAGTTAAAAAGATTGATTATAAGAACGTAATTCTACTGAAGAGTAAATTTAATAATAAAAGAGCGTGAGAATGCTAAAGAGTTAGTTTACTTTATTTCAAGTATATTCTGATTAATTTTTAAATATTATAAATTCTGACAAATTTGACTCCTGGGGTTTTGGGGTTTTGGGGTTTTGGGGTTTTGGGG